CCGGCCTTCAGACTGGCCACCACTGCTCAATTGAGAACTATCATGACACAAAGAAACAATGACACAATTGGCCCACCATGCACCGGCTGCAGATGCCACCTAAGGACATGTGTGAATCATTCAAACATGGAAAAACCCCTGGGAATATATGCTATACAATGGGCCACTCTTGCTCCTGCCACTGAGAATCAGAAAGGTCTAGAGTCAGCAGAGGAGCAGCTGCTGAACAAGGACTCAGAGAACATGAGAATGCAGACTAAGCCTGAGGGGTCTGAGGTCCTGTGGACTGGGGTCATGAGAGCCGCTCGGAAGGAAATAATAATAAACATGCTTTTCATCCACGGCTCTCTGTAAACCAGGAGGACCTTGCACAATACCTGCAGAGACTCCCTGGAAGCCATTCTTCCCCTGACAGTACAGGCTGTGGCGGAGCTCCAGAGAAGTCTGCAACAGGATTCCTGCTGCCTGTGCTTACAGTTGGGGAGAGGACACTAACTGGTTGTGAGGTTCCAATGCGATGGGAGGCTGGAGAGAAAACACTACAAAAAATGGCTTTGGCCCCAGACGGCTCACTTGATTTTTGACAACCCTTAGGCTGTAACTACTTGTTAGATCCTTCTTGAGAATCTCTGTCTTCCTGAGAAACCACTTCTAAGATACCAACATGTATTACAGCAGTCACTGATATTTTCCTACTAATCTATCCATAACTCTGTAATGTTTGTATTGTTCCTATCCTATTTCATAAATGGATGCATGTTTATTATTATGTGTTTCCTACAACAACCATTGAGAATAGTTAATGATTATTCAATAGGTCACTCATGTATAGTTCTATTTATTTTCTTTCGAAGATACCTGAGTACAACAACTATTGATAATCTCCTACCTCTTTTGTCTGTAACTCACTATTATTTGTCTGTTTTCCTGAGAAACTATCTTGTAGATAACAATATGTAAAACAATAACCATTGATAATTTCCTACCACTTTGTCTGTAATTTGGTAAGTCCCCCCATTATTGTTATCCTTCTCTTACTCTTTAAAATAAAAAAATTAAAAAATTTTTTTAAAAAAAGAAAAGTAAGAGAGACAAGAAAAACAAGAGAGGCAAAAGTCTGGGATCAGGGGGCTTACAGCCTCTCAGACTGAAGCCCCAATTACCAATCTCAGCCACCTTTTATTGAGCTAGAACCAAGGGTGTAGCTAGTACCAATGGGCGGACACCAAACATTTTTTAGTAATTAGAGAATTATCCTTCTCCAGTTCTGCCTCTTATGCTGCTGGCAACAATCCTCAAGTGGGCCTCCCATACCCAGCACCATGCTTACTCATTTCAGCTGGGGGTTATAAGTTGAACACTAGTTATCAATCCACTATAATCCACCCCTGGTCAACTTGATAACTATACACATTTCCTTAATCCAATGATCTCTAGTGGCAGATTTGTGAAAAGTGAACATGTCTTACTCTATTCACATTTACATTAATATAAGTTACATAATACAATTTTTTACTGACTGAGCTAGCTAGCCCATATAATGAAGCCTTATCTTTAGAAACCCTAACAAACAATAAACAAATCATTGTGTGTCCTCAGTGCTTTCTAATCAAAGAATGTCCTCCACAGTTGAAGAGTTTATTTGCTCCTATGTTGTAAATTCATTATACAGAACTAGGGATAATCTCTTACAGGGCTGTGAGGATTGAGCTAGTGTATGTAACACACTATTACACAGTGAGCACTATCTCAGTATTTGCTGCTATTGGTGCTCATCTTTGGGTTTCTACACTACCCCATATAAAGTAGGCCACACATGTGTTAAGGTAAACTGAATTTGCATATAAATCACGTTAAAGCTAACTGTACAGTAAAATTCTACATTATGGGTTCATTTTCATTTCTTTTTATATCCTTCAAATAGCATCAAACTAAAGGCCTACAACAAGTATGGTTATAGACAAGTATCTGAAAGAAATGAACCTTATGCTACATTACTACACAGGTCAGAGCCTATTACCTACAATTGGGCAAAACCAGATTAAAAACCTGTGCCGTTATATTGTACTTATCCAAATGTAATGTGAGTGAAAGATATAAACAAGCAAAATATTCAATGGAAAGATAAAGGATTGCCTTGTATTACAAATATGTATAAAATTTTTTCTCTTAAAATTGTAACAGGGATAAGATAAAATCATCAGGTAAAAATAACTGTAAAAGCCAATATGAATTACTAAGTACTTGTAATTACTTAAATTCAAGTACCATCAAGAACTCAACCTTGCCTGACAGTCTATCAGAGGCCCTAGGAATCACTGATATGAAGGCATTGCCAAAGATTTTTACTAGCATATTTTTGTTATAGGTGAATAGGTATTTTAAATCAGTGTGTTTTTTCAAGGCTCAAACACTCAATTTAAGGATGACAGCATAACATTTGTTCAATAAAAGTTTGTTAAATGAAGTCAGAGCTACTGGCTCCCAACATTTACTGGATATTTCCTTGGAGGTTGGTATTATCTTAATATGGAAATATAGAATGTATGGAAATGTATAGGAAAAAGTATATGTGTGTATACACTGTACACGTCATTTCAACACCAATTACATGATACTCACTGGGGGATAAATGGTCCTACAAGTAATACCTAAGTGAGACTGAGACATAAAGTGGCTGTGTTTCATTCAGATAGCAAATACAGTAACAGCAGACTCAGAATTTGAACCTAAATTCACTTAGCACCAAAGCCCCTGCTCCTAATCCCCACAGTGGAGCTGCCCAAATGAGTTAGCAGAGGGAAGCACACAAAATGAGGTTAAACTGTAATCCTCTAGCATCTAAATAAGTTTATGTTGTGAATGAACAAACGAAGATTCAACATGGAAGCAGGTAACTTTATCTTACCTTTCTTTTTAATTTTCCATCAGAAAATGCTCCTAATTTCTCTCTCCAAAATAGTCTTAACTTTTTGCTGCTGTAGATTTTACTGAGATGTTATTTGTCACTCAGCCATACTCCTTGCTTGCCCACTTCCATTAAACAAGACAAATGAGAAGGTAAAGGTGAGCGATGGAGATGTGAGAAGAATTCAGAGTAGTCCAGAACAAGACCTCAGGTGTTAAGACATAAAATGTAACGCAAGCCTGTTTATTACAACTGATTCACACGAGAAAAGAAAAAACTCAGAAATAACTGAAAACTGAACTCCTCTAGGAAATTCTGTAGTAGTCTATTTCCAAATCCTAAAATAGTTGGCAATGAGGTCATCAGGGTATTGAAGTGCAGGTAACTAATCAGAAAACTGCCCATCCCCTTCTTTGAGTATGGGTGTGTGTGTTTCTGGGCATTGAACCCAGAGCTTTGCCACTGGGCTAGATCCCCAGCTCACGCTCTCTTGCCTCTTTCTCCCTTCTCCCTCTCCCTCTCCCTCTCCCTCTCCTTCCCTCCCCCCCCCATATATATACATTTTTTTTTTTTCCAGACAGAAGCTCACTGAGTCAGTAGGTTGCTCTGGCTGAGCTTGAACTTGTGATCCTTCCGCTCAGCATCATGGAGTGCCGAGATTACAGGTGTGTACCGCCGCACCCTGCTAACTGCTCCTGTCTGAGCAACTGGTTCAGCAATATTCTGGAGTAATTACAATCAAGTAGTAAAACAGAGAGATGCCACTGGTAATTCTTATGGAAGAATGCAAGCATGTGAATAATTCGTTATGTTTGAATGGGTACTTTTTAATGTAAAAAGCAATATAAATGGTTTTATCATTAACCGCTTGTGGACATGACACTCTGTCCACGACCCCCATTGACATTAAATGCTGCAGTTTCTAGGTACATGGAGGCTCCTGGAGTGAGCTTCTGCTGTGGCAAGATGCCAATTACTCTGAGGAGAGAAAGGCTAGTGGATTTCCAGATCATTCAACCTATCTAATAGTAAGCCTAAAGTGAATAATACTAAAGGCTTAATACTTTCAAAAGTGGAAGGATGAAAGAAATTCTACTGTTTACCGGTCATAAGGTTATATACTGTTCCTTAGCAACCAGCATTTGTCTTTCCTGTGACAAAGAAGTCACTGAAAAGGGGGAAACTAAAAATGAAACCATTTGGACGATTCCAACAGACAGACAGTACCTCAAAGGCAGCGAGGAGCACCTTTTACAAACCATAGTGTTGAATGGCAAAGCTCATTCCTGGGGTAGAAAGAGGATCACGGATACTGCATAATAGATGGCACCCAGGATACCAGCTGCAGTCCCTGAAGCAAGGACTAAGAACAAATGCCACCTCCCTGTTCGTGCTCAAGGCACATTCAGCCTTGAGCTCCTCCAGTCCTGCTCTCAGCCCCTCCTCCTGTCCCAAGAGGCCAGTATACCTAGGAGTCAGTAGGGAGCAGCTTGCTCCCCAGGGTCACATCTGGATCCTCCCTCTACCCCATGTACTTCCTTCCTGCTCTGAGCCTGCTGTCTGATGTGCTGATTCCATTTTCGGCACCAATTTTTAAAAACAATAATGAAAACCTTATTTTCATACCTAGCTGGAGCATAAATTCTGGAGACACCTGGAAAATTAGTAAGAAGCCCAGGGCGGGTTGTATATGTTCCCATCTTTCAGTCCTTTAACTAGAGAATCAGTAATGTCTTTAAAAGGAGTGAGTGAGCGGCCAGACCAGGCATGGTGGTGCACACCTGTAAACCCAGCACTCTAGAGGCTGAGGCAAGAGGATCACTTTGAGTTCAAGGCCAGCCTGAACTGCATAGCGAGACCCTGTCCCCAAAAGACAAAATTAATAGTAATAATAATAATACAAGGAGTGAGAGCTGGTAGTACAGGACCCCAAACTGACAGATTCAAGGTATGGATGCCTTTGTTTAGGCAAATGATATTTCATTCTCTCAAAAACTGTTATTGGGCTCCCGCAGTTTCAAACTCCAAACTCCAAGAAGATGCCTGTATGTTTGGAGCAGGGGTCCCACCCCCAAGATGGGTAACTACTCACCTCCTCGGGTCGGAGGGCCCCAGGCTCGCTCGCGCAGGGGCCCCGGGCCCCGCCGCCTCCAGACCCCGGCTCTGGCTTCCCCGCGGGCCAGGTGCACCGGGGTCCCGGGCAGGGACGAGGCGGGCCCCGGAGCCCATCGCTGCACCGCGGGCGTACATGGTGCGGAGCGGCGGCCGCCTACGAGGCTCGAGGGAGATTCCGCAGCGCAGAGGTAGCGGTTTTAACAGCCGAGTTTCGATTTCTCCCCAGCAAGCTGCGCCCGCCCCAAAGAACTTCCCCAACGCTGAGTCGCCCTGGACCCCGCCGACCAGACCCGACCCCACCGGGCCGACGGGCCAGGGGCCGACCAGCGCGGTCCACGCCCCGGCCTCGTCGGCCGCTGGCGGGGACAGGTTCCCGCGGCCCCCGCTACAGGTGGGACGCTTTCAGGCCTCGACCACTGTAGAGGATGATAAAGGTGATTATGATCAACAACGACGCCACGTGAACGAAAAGTCGCAAATGACTAGAATCCTGAAAAATACTTAAAGAGGTGTTAGCAGATGCCCCTCATTTGAAGTTTCTGTTGGTTTCTTAAGGCCTTGAGGAATATTGCCTTAAGGTGCCAGAGACTCGGTCTATAGCTTACACTGCCCTTTATCAGCAATGACTGCAGCTTGGCAGCTGACGTGCAGAGGAAATGGAAAGTGAAATCGGGGGTGGGGCGCAAAGCTGAAGGAGCAAGCGGAGGACTAGGTAGCGATGATTCTTTAGGTAGTTTTGCTAAGTAACTGATCGTTCAGTTTTACAATGTTCCCAGCTGTCTATATGAAGGCACGAAGGCTCTTCCTGTGTTCTAGGAATCAAGGAAACCAGTGCAGCCCCACCAGAGGTCCCCGGAGTGATGGTGGACTGTAGGCTAGCCACTGGTGGAATACACGGGACTGGGGATTCGCCCTCTGGCTAATGCAGGAAAGGGGCATTTGAGAACGGGCCCCAAGGACCTGGGAGTCCACCAGGAAGAGGAGACGCTATGGCAGGGACTCCTGGTTTAGTGACACGCTGTACACCTAATCTAAGGGTGTGTAATTGAAGCTTGCCAGCCCCAATCAGCCAGCCACTTAGGGGCAGTACTGTCTCCCTTCATTATTAGTGCTTAGAGCAGAAAAATACATACTTAATAGTTAATCAGAGAATGAAGCTGGGCCAGATGGCACAGTCAGCAGGCTGAGGCGGAGGACTACTGCAAGTCCAAGACCAGCCTTGTCAGTGTGGCCAACCTGCGCCTTTTCTGAGCTCAAGATCACCTCACTGCTTCATTTCAACGTGAACACACAGAAACTCGGAGCAGCCAAGCGACTTTGCGGGTCATGTCACACTAGCGACAGAAGGACTTGGGGTAGGCCTTCCAAAGCCAAGTCTTACATTTTGGAGTACAACTGTGACAAATGTAATCTTTTGACAAAATTCAAAATTTGGAAAATGTTTATTACAGTTTTTCAATGGCCAGCTGCAGGATATCTTCCAAAGCTAAAACTACTGTGTCAAGGTTTCTCAATCTATCAGAACTGACATTAATAAAAACCATAATACTCAAGCATTCACTTCTGTCATTACAAGTCAAATGATCTCTACAATGATACTGTTTTATACAAATTGTTAAAACTTCATAAGCTGGGTGTGGTAGCATACCCCTGTAACCCCAGCACTTAGGAGGCTGAGGCAGGAGGCTCACTGTGAGTTCACAGCCGCCTGAGCTACGTAGTGAAACCCTGTCTCAAAAAGAAAAATACTTCATGAGTAACACAGATACTAAATTTAGGTTAAAATGTATTTTAATAGTTAAAATAGGGAGCTTTATAATGTATAAAGAATTCTACTTAAAAATGGAAAGATATATATTTGTTCCCTCTGTGTTTCAGATGGTTGTCACTGGGAGAAATGCGGACTACAGAAATGTGCTTTAAATGCTATTTCCTATCCTCTGTTAGGTGCCTGGATTTCCTTGTTTGTAAGTTCAGATCTGAAGAATAGACAGCAGCTGCCATTTCTGGGTTCTCACGCTGTCTACTTAAATAGTAGCCACAAGATTTCTGCTGGCTGCAGAACTGGAAGGAATTCCCCTCAACTTTGGGGTAACTTCTGTAGATTCTGTCAGCAACACAGGCAGGGAGATTCCCTGAAGGAATTCTTTAACTGTGATAAATGAATCAAACGGAAACTCCCAGAGAACTTCCCATTTCACCTGATACCTTCGCCTTTTCCAAAAAAAACCCTTCCTAGGGGCCTCATTGTTCTGATGCTCAAACGCTAAACCAAAAGTTTGGTGAGTGTCACAGTCCTTTGTAAATATAACCGGGCACACCAGAGAACATGCCTCACAGGGGGAACAACAGTGGGCACAAACACAGAAGACCGGAACTTGGGACCTGTCAAAGCCATTCAAAACTTTTTGACACCAGGGGTCACTGAACTTTCTGAACTTTGTTTTCTTCATGTGTAGGATGGAAATATTAATCATAATCACCCTACCTGTCCTACCTACCTTTTAGGAGTTTGTGAGGGGTAAGTGAGATAAAGTAGGAAAGTGGCTCATAAATTGCACCTTGGTACAGTTTAAATAAAAGTTATTATTTTTGAGCTGTCAGTGCAGTCATTTTATATACTTTTTTTTATTAATGCTTGTATTTACCTTCAAAGACTTCTTAACTTCAGTTCCCTCGGCCTTTGGCTTTCAATTTGAAAACATTATAAAGCTGAAGCTATGGTGCATTTTAACATGAAATCCTTTCAGAATAGAAATAAAACAGCATTTATAGTTTCAGCTGCCAATATAAAAATGCCTGGCACAGGAGTATAGCTTCCAGAAAAGCTGGAACTCTGTTGTCATAGCTAGAAGCCTCTTGAGTACTCTGAGGACATTTTGTGACATTGTCTGCCCTAACAACTTTTAAAAACTCAAGAAAGTTCCCTTGCTATGAGTAAAACTTAGGGCTGTCCTGTTTAACTAGAGTCCCCATGACCTTTGCATGTTTTCAGGCTTATAATTTTGGGTTGGGATTCCCCACAGGCATACCAGGCTGGCCCAGGCTGGCCTCCAGTTTGTAGTGACCCTCCTGCCTCAGCCTCCCAGGTGCTGGGATTACAGAGGTCTTTGATCATCTCTCCCCTAGAAGCAGGATGACCTTCAAAGCTCTGTCCAGTCCATCACATGGTCCATTAAGTGGATAACCCAGAGCAGCCTCCTTTTGTGGTTAGAGCTGAGACTCTCATGGATGATCTCCAGGAGCTTACCGACTATGGGCTCCTTTTCTTCTGTTACCAATTAGCCGATCGCTGACAGTAGGAGGGTGATGGAAATGATTAGGATAATGAGGTTATATGCGATCTGAAGAAAGTACATGATTCCTAGCTTATCTACCAATGCAGGACAGTTCTCTGGGTGGCCATGGACCAGTCCAGTTCTTGCTCCAACCATTTCTTGTTTACAGTTCTCAAGAATAAATGTAGAATGTGCAGGGAATATAACAAGGTAAGCTAAGGAGAAACTTCCTAGGCAGCCTAGGTCTTTTTCCTGTCTCTCCTAAGGAATAACTTTCTGTGTGTGTTGCGGGGGTGGTATCAGAGGTCAAACTTAGAACTATTCTACCCATAAACTACATCCCCAACCCTTTTTTATTTTTTGAGACAGGGTCTCACTAAGTTGCCCAGACTGACCTCTAACTTGTGATCCTCAGTCTCACAGATAACTGAGATTGTAGGTGTGTGCCACTGTGACCAATGGAAGGTAACACCATGAATCAGGAAGAATTGTCTTGGGTCTGTTTTGTGTTGACTTTTTCCTTTTCTTTTCTTTTCTTTTAAACAGGGTCTTGCTATGCAGTTCAGCCTAGCCTTGAACTCATTTTATAGCCCAGGCAGGCCTCCAACTTGCAACAACCCTCCTGCCTCAGCCTACCAGGTGCTAGAATCACAGAGTGCTTTGGTTATCTCTTCCCTAGAAGCAGGACGACCTTGAAAGCTTTGTCCACTTAATTACACGGTCCATTAAGCGTATAACCTAGTGTTATGGTTTGTGTCTGGGTGTTCCCCCAAAGCCTCATGTGGCCATGGGGCAGGCTTTTAGAGTTTGATTGATTATGGGTGTGAGGCTACACCCGCCCTGGGGTGGATAGTTTGCATATGTAAGAGAGAGGAAGAGGGTGCTTCTGGCCATTTCCTCCCTTGTGTGTGTTTGTTGCTTTGCTGGGTTCTGCTGCCATGAGCCTTAGCTCTCTGCCATGTGCCAGTCTGCCTTGTAACCTGCCAAGTATGGACTAAAACCTCCACAAACTGTAAGAAATAAACTTTTCCTTCCTTAATTTTGGGCATCAGGTATTTTGTCCCAGCAACAAGAGAAAAGTAACCAAGACACCTAGACCAAGCTACTTCTGAGGGTTCCCTCAGCTGTGGCGCGTAACATGGTGTGCACAGCCAAGAGTCTCACCCACCCTGAGTGGCTTTCTTGACCTTTGGGAAACCAGCTCACAATGCAGCTTTCTGTCCTTTGCTGCTTATCTGTAAGAAACAACCTTCCTTGGATAACCTGCATGTGAATATGTTTCCTGGATTCAAACAGATAGATCATCAGTATGCAACACACCTAAACAATAGTCCAGGATGCAGTGGACAGGATATATGCTTTGGTTCCTGGTGGTCAGCATAGTGGCAATCTTTGCTGTTTTCTGCACAGCCAAGAGTTCTCTTTGGGAAATGGTACTTAAGGAACCTGATTCACAACCAAGAGTTTGTTACTCAAACTTCAAGCTTTGTTATAGTCCTGTGTTTAGATCTTGGCTCAGTTGCTTACAACTGAATCAATGTGGGAAAATCACTGAACATCTCAGGGCCTCTGCTTCTTAGACTGTAAATTACAGTATAGACAGTGCCTAACTTACACTGGTTACACTTCTGATTGTTCAACCTTATGATGGTATGAAAGTCATGCACATCATAAGAAACCACACTTTGAATCTTTTACCTAGCTAGCAGTAATGCTGTATGATATTTTTTTTTGATGCTGAACAGAAGCAATGAGCCACAGTTCCTAGGGAAAAAACAGTCCTCTTCAGTGTGCTATGTTGCTAAACTATGATGTCTGGTAGGCTAGGTATTTTATTTCATTTTTGTTCTTGTTTTTATTACTCAAAGAGCTTCCTCTTTCTCTTGGCCCTCTGATTCTGTGCTTGTACTTTCAGCACTTTCACCACAATTTTCTGCTCTTG